CACACACACACACACACACACACACTAATGAAAGACTGCACCTGTCGGGCACCGGTCGCGATCGGGTACAACTAGAGGCACAACTAACAACAGTAATATCAGAAGTAGTTTGCGTCAATCCTCGTGCTCCTCCGTGTCTGTCCTCTTCTCTTTATGGCAGGTGAAGATGTGCCGCATCTCCTCCTCGTACCGCATGAAGTTCTCCCCGAAGCGGGCCCAGGCTTTCAGCGGGACGGTGATAGTGTTCCGGTAGGGCTGCCGGACCTCGCTGATCTTCAGAAAGACGCCGAAGCGGTTCGAGCCTACGTCGAAGTAAAAGCGCTTGTTGTCGACGCGGAACGACGCCGCCTCGGGCAGCTCGGGCGACGCGTCGTGGTTCCGCGCGCAGGGCTCGTCGTCGCCGTATTCGTCGATTAACTGCGACAGCGCGTCTCTGAACTCGATCAGGCCCTGCGCCGGCAGCACGATGGTCTGCTCGATGCCCTGCCCGTAGTACCCCATGCTCCCGTGTCCTCGGTTGACGGTCTGCCGGATGCGCAGGAACCGGCCGCGCTGGTTCTCCTTCAGGTCCAGGTAGTACTTCCTGTTGTCGCGCTCGATGAACTCGCTCTTCAGCACCCGGTGCGTCTGCTCTTCGGACGCGGCAGAGCCGCTGGGGGACGCCGCCGGATCCGCTGCTCTCCGGCGGGGCTCCGGTGCGCGTCCCTTGCCGTTGCTCTGCCCCTCCGGCGCCTGGCATCCTCGGAGCCCGATGTGCGCGTAATAATCGATGAAGTTGCCCAGGCAGTAGCGCAAATCGGGCGCCATGGACATGGAGAGGGTGAGCTTGCTCTTGCGGATGTTGTCGTGCCGGCCTCGGCCGATCCACACCTCGGCGATCTTCAGGAAGCGTCCGCGGGTGCTCTGCTTCACGTCCAGGTAGAAGCGCTTCTTCTGGATGTCCACGCGCTTGGACGCCAGCTCCTGTATGTCTGACGCTTTGCCGCTCGCGTACTGCTGCGAGTATCCTGATGCCATCCTGCCTCTGCCTCTGTCCGTGTCCCTTCGGTGACTATCGGCCATAATCATTCACGGCGCTTCATCGCCTCGCTCGGTATTATTCCGCTTATCGAGCACCGGCGAGTCTCCTCGGCTGACCTGGAAACGGCAGGAGCGGCTCATCGACTTCCTTTGTCCTGATGAAAGGTCAAGCGAAGCGCGGAGCCGCGTACCGTATGCACCATGTTTTAAAAGCTCTTGTTTTTCGCCTCGCCATCCATCTGACACATATTCCTGAAGCGAGAGAGACAGCGGATCTGCTGTAGTGCGAATGAACTCAATGACCCATCCCCCTCTCTCCAGCACACAGGCGCAGATCGCTTGCGTACTACAGTACGCACTGCGCTGCGCACAGATAAGTATGCAGTACAGCAGTACTCCAGAATGAGGACGCTACTTCAGAGGGTATGCACGTGACGTCACCGTCAGCTGGAGTGAGTGCGGCTCCGCCCACTGAGTGGAAAAAGAGCCCAGTGTGCATACTATCCATCCTAAATTCTGTGTGATGTTAGTAATTTTCAATACTATTTAGGGCAGATAGGGTGGATAGTATGCACATTGGGACGCAGGCTGAACGGCAGCATTGGTTTTCAGCGTGAATGCTGTGACAAAAAGCACCTCAAACGAGAAAGAGCTTTGCGATAGGTCTGAAAAGAAATCTGAGCTATATTTTTACAGACTGCCGAAAACTAGAGAAGAGAGAAGCAAATGAAGCGCTGCAATTTAAAGAAACAAATGGACTCCAGGCAACGAAACACGGATTTGCAGTTATCATTTTATGTTAATATGCTGAATTTTGCAGTAAAATCATACCCTATATATTTTATTATAATATATCGTATTGACAACACATCAATTAAATATGTAACATCTTATAACTGGATGTATTTAAATAAACAACACTGACAAAAACGATATAAGTTTTTGGGCTGGACGATATGGCGATATATATAACATTGATATAAGTGATCACCCGGATTTAGAGCAACCTATTTTGTATTTACAAAATGCGTTCACAGGCAAATTTGCTTTATTTATTTTCCCGGCGTCGAAATCAGGCACACATAAATGTCAGGAAACACGATTCTTGGCTGCGTATCAATATCCATGGACCACTGGATACTTGGTAAGTTGTAAGCTACACTATATCGAGTCCAGCAAGTTTTAGTTTAAACTGATTATCGTTTGTTTTACTGGCGTTTTCGCAGCTTCTCTATTAAATCCATTCAGGCAGCAGCTCTTTTGCCACTCAGTCCGCTGAGGGGGCGTGTCCCGGCGGCAAAGTGACGTCAGTGAGTGTGGAGTAGAAAAGTCAGTGGAACATGTTTTTTGTGTTTGTCAAATGTATTTTAACCAAGCGGCAACCTCCTGCTCTCTCTCGTGAAACCAACGAGGAAGTGACTTAAACTGCAATTCATGGACTGGCCGCTAGAGGCCGGCTGCAAAAGGGAGTCAATCCCATAGACTCCCCATGTTAAAATGCCCAACTTTACAGCAGAAAAAAACATGTTTTACAGCCTGGTTCAAAAAATGATTTTGGTCTATATAGCTAATTTTGCCCTTCATGACAACTGTGAGGGCGGTAATTTTTTTTAGAACTCATCCGTTTAAATTATATTAAAGGGGTCATATGATGCGATTTCAGTGGATTGCCGCTGCTGTCACCACCGTCGAGCTAGGTGGGCGTGGTTTCACCAACCTGCCCCCGCCTCTTTGCCCATTTTCGATTATCCGGGAGTGACGCGCTGCCAAGATGGCGACGGCCGGCTCCGCCCACTTTGAGCTTCAAAAACTATCTTCGGAACCCTACGGGTGACGTCACGGACACTACGTCCATGTTTTTATACAGTCTATGATTTTAATGAAAGATAAATAATGAAGAAGGAACTCAGAAAGGTGGGAGTGGAAGAAATAAAGCATAAAAATATAAATACTTATGGATTAGAGAGCTTATTTCTTTATCTCAAAAGAACAGAACTGATAAGATGCAATTGTAAATGTAATTTTTTTAATGAATTGGATAAACTTTGGTCCACACTCCTAATGCACCTTAAAGCTAGTGCTACCCGCCATAAAACCGAAGAAGACGACATAAACTGCGTCCCAAATGACGCACTATATACTATGTACTTATGCACTGTGCACTCAACCATGTAGTGCATGAATTTTATAAGGTCATTTTGTCATTTATAATCGGAGTTTGATAGCCCCTCGCCCTTCGCGACGTAATTAAAGCTGCGACAGTTGAGTGCATGAAGTGTTCAAAATACCACACTTCGGCCCTGTCCCAAATGGCACCCTAAACCCTCGCGGTCTTCCTCTGAGTCAGCACTTTTGTGACGTAATGCCGCTTTGACTGTCGGGTAGAAGTCTGCTGCGGAGCTCGCCCCAGTGCGGGCTTGTCAGAAGTGCGTATCGAGGGCGCATAGCGAGCACCCTTCTGAACGCTAAAATGACGAATGGGACACCCTACATGGACTTAATGTACACGCGCACGCGGCGGCCATTGTAAGTCCGCAAGACCGAAAGTGCACAAGAAGTGTGCCATTTGGGACAGGGCCGAACGTTATTTCTGTTATTTAAGTGCATCATCCGGGTTTTTAAAGTTTTTGGAATTTTTTAGTGTGAACACACTTCTCACACTATTTACACTAAAAACGTCCATAGAATAGTGCATAAGTACACAATTTGGGACACACCTATACTACTTCCACATGTTAGTCTGTTCATCAAACCGCTTAACTGGTGCAACCAAAAAAAAAAAAACACATTTAAAAAGCTTTTAAGAATTAGAATCTGGATGTTTACTAAGATCCTTGTATCATCTATTGAAACGCATAATAATATTTAAAATATTAGTAAGCTTAATATTCATAAAATCATAATTTATTGGGTACTTTCAATTGGGAGGTGGCTGTCTCAAACCCTAACCCTACATTTCAAATTCTAAAAACAATATTGATTTTTTTTTATTCCATTGTTGTTTTTAAAAATATCTTTTTGATTTTTTAAAAAAAGTAAAGTTCAAAAAAATATTTTCTTTGTAAATACTGAAACTTTATGTAAAAAAAAAAAAAATGTGTCCCGCATTTTCATGTCACTAACGAAACAGTCCATTGGCTGAGACTGATTTTAACCACACCCCTAAATTTATGATCGGGAAATATTCCTGTGTCCACCGCTCTCATAACTACAATGTGTGAGTAGATAGGTCCCATCATTTTGAGGTAAAGTCTAAAAATCTGTGTGTAACTTTAAGGAACGTCACTACCGAACACCTTTTTTTTGCAATTAAGCACACTTTTTTTGGGAGTTATTCCATAATATTTAGTTTTTATATGTGTACAACTGTTCAGAACTGTGCTAGCTAACGTGCTGATTAGCATCTTTGAGGTAGGCTCATTTGGTGGAGTTTCGGTATAGTGACATCAATGTTTTTTGGGTGTTATTCCATAAAATGGTCACTACTGTGTAACAGTCACAACCAAAACATGTCATCATTGTTTCGGTAGTGACAAAAGACTACACATAATCCTTTATTTGGGGGAATGTGATGTGGTCGCTACCAAAACATTACTGTCACTAGCTCACTACTGAAAATGTGCTGTCACAACCGAAACATGGGATGCTGTCAAAAATAGGGATGGGCGATATGGGCTTAAAAATGTATCACAATAATTTCTGATATTTATTGCGATAACGATATCAATGACGATCATTTAGGGAATCCTGTTTCTTTAGACAAAAGTATTATCTTTCCTATTTTTACCCAAAATAGGGTGTTGTGAGCAGTACACACGTAATGTAATGACTGTTTAATTAATAATGGAAGCCAGAGGGCGCCCTTGCACAGAAACTCCACATGCATAGTAGAAGTAACGCTCCAGGAAATCCCTAATATGGACAAAGGTATCCAGTGATCGCTGTAGCTGAATAAAACCAGATAGAGAAATTTTAACTGAGGAAACTTGAAGACAATAAACATGCGATTGCACAAAATATATGGTATCTGTGTTCTTCAAGCAATCTTGGGTATTTTTATAAGGATAAAATATATTTATAATGCAATGCTAATCGACATAGTCTTCATCACTGTATATAATGCTATAAAATAATATGATTTCTACCTTATTCTGTGACCACGTCTGGTCACAAAAATAAGTTATTTTAAACACTCGACTATGTTATGAAGTTAATATGGAGAAAAAGCACGTCAATAATATCTTTGTTGGACAACAGGTTTGCAAAGAGACTCATATACATGTAAAACTGTATCGCACACGTACTACTGTATTACATTTACTCAAGTTCGGTTAAGTTAGCTATTTACTCAAGGCTCAGACCGATTTTTATCGCACTGTTCAGTGCTATCCAAACCTGCTCCAGATTGTAGAAGGAGCTGCTCAATTTCACGTCCGCTCTCCTTCACGTCACTCCGCACAGTCGCACACAGAAATATGTCAACAACTAGACTTTATTGTTATTATCGCGGGAATACGAATTCTTATCGTGTGGAGAATTTTTACCGGTATATCGCAAACGATAAGATATCCTATCGCCCATCCCTAGTCAAAAATAAAGTATATTGAATTATCAGCTATGATAGTGTTTGGTTCAGTGCATATTTAAACTAATGAATCTTTAACTTTGAAATCAATATATGATCAGCTTTATGCCTTTTACAAAGAAAGATTGGATTCAAAATAGAACAAATCTCATAAATCACACTTAAAATATTGTTAAAATTGTAATTGTTGTTGATTTACCTCTAAAACCCTTTTAATAAAATAGCAAAAAATATATTTACAAGGTAGATGTAAACAAAATCTTAATAGGTCAATATAGCCCTTATTAAATTATAAATTATTGTTTTGGTAGTGAGTGACACATTTGGGGAGAGGAAAAATATTCCAACACTTTCTGAAAATACAATATGAGAATTAACTGCACAATTACTGGAAATGTGTACCTTGGATATTATACAATTTACACACGTTGTATCGACAAAAGACATTTTGACGATTTTGAAAAGACAAGATGTTTTCAACTCTGACTTTGAACCAATTCTGTAGAATGGCCCGTGGATGCTGGAGCAAGGAAAAACCCCTGCACAGATGGCCACAGGGATATGATGGTTATCATAGTGTCATTGTTCATTTATTTTATTTCAAAACATGAACAGAAACATTCCAGATCTTTGTGTTTAAGTATTTTGAGAGAGTTATGCTCTCGTAATTGAAACTTGTAAACTCACAATGCATTATAATATGACTTATTTAATTGTAATGAACTTATAAATGAACACACTGATAAATCTGTATTCTGTAATATAAAATATTAAAGATTGCATCAGAATCTAATGTGTGAAATTACGCAACCTTCCTGTCACCAACCCACCTCGTATAAAACCTCATTGTGCCCCTTATTGCACTATTTATTTTTTTCATAAATATAGCAAATAAAACAAATACATATTCATACTCACCCACAGAACAACTTACACACGTCCAAAAATAAGAATATATGTATAGGACTTTCCATTTTCTATCCATTTATCATTATAGACCATGCTTAAAGTGGAAAAAAGTGCCAGTACGCTCTTGTGCACCGGCTGTCATATGCAAATCATTATTACATTTGAAATATCAAATGTGACCCTGGAGCACAAAACCAGTCTTCAGTCGCTGGGGTATATTTGTAGCAATAGCCAACAATACACTGTATGGGTCAAAATTATAGATTTTTCTTTTATGCCAAAAATCATTAGGATATTAAGTAAAGATCATGTTCCATGAAGATATTTTGCAAATTTCCTACCGTAAATATATCAAAACTTAATTTTTGATTAGTAATATGCATTGCTAAGAACTTCATTTAGACAGCTTTGAAGGTGATTTTCTCAATATTTTAGTTTTTTTTTTTGCACCCTCAGATTCCAGATTTTCAAATAGTTGTATCTCAGCCAAATATTGTCCGATCCTAACAAACCATACATCAATGGAAAGCTATTCAACTTTCATTTTTCGTAGAAATTGCAATTTCAAAAAATCGAGCCTTATGACTGGTTTTGTGGTCCAGGGTTACAAATGTGAAAAAAAAAAATACTTGTAGATATTGCTGTTACCACTTCGAGCACTGTGTTGCATTGTCACTAATACTAATGCACAATTATTAATAATGTGCCACAATACAGGTTCAATAACGACATTGTTCACATAGATGATGTACTTTAGACAGTGTTACGCCATTCATAATAAACAACTGAATAGCGCGCTTATGATAACACTCACAGTGTTGCCAACTTAGCAATTTTGTTGCTAAATTTAGCAGCTTTTCAGACTACCCTAGCAACTTTTTCTTCCAAAAGCACCTAGCAACAAATTTAGCTATTTTTTAAAAATTTATTTGGCAGCTTTTAGCAACTTTTGATAAGTGACTCAAACGATAAAAAGGCACAATTTACCATTTGGATTTAAAAATAGTTATTTATATTTTAATATTATATTATGCATTTATATTGTTATGAACAAATCTAAATTAACATATATAAAATATATATGTTTTTGCTGAGATTTGACATAATTTTGCATCGTGATTACGTAATGACGTCATCACGCAATGTCATCACAACGTCATTTAGCAACTTTTAGCAACAAATCAACCTTCCTTTAGCAACTTCCCCTGAAAATTAGTTGGCAACACTGAACACTCATTCAGTAGTAGCCTAGTGTGTGTCTGCTTTGTTTAACACAGCCAGCTTGTTTATTTCACTCCAGTCCCACAGGTGGCGCTGCTGGGTGTGTCACAGACGAACACAGCGCGGGAGAGTTTGGCTGAAGTAACTGGAAACGTTGCTTAGAAATATACATTGTTATTCAACACGTATAGACAGGCTGTGAGTTATTAAAGCTTTTAGAGGAATATGAAGTGCTGAATGAAATGCAGAGAGACAGCGCGACATTCATTTCAGCGTGAGCGGTTAACGTGTGCTTTGTGCGTCATTGTAAGTATACGCACGTCAAAAGTGATATTAATATTACTGTATGTCACGCTCGGAAACGGCCCTTACTGTTTTATGCTAACGTTAGGTTTACCATGTAGTCGTACTAGTTTTATGCTGTTTTATTGTTAAAGACGGATGAAAGGAAGCTATAATGGGTGACAGGACTCTACCTGAATGGATGAACAAACTTCAGGAAGAACATGTGAGAAAAGTCAACAATATAAACACACACACGACTCACTTGAAAAACATAAACTGACCTGTTTGCTTGAACTTCTTTCATGCACATGTCTTCTTCACTGGCATGTTATGTGCAGGACGAAATGCTCTCTTTGTACCTGTGCCTTCACTAATGTGTATGTTTTCCATTGGTTGAGAGAAAGTAAAAGCCACTTATTTGCATTATTTACTGAGACACCTGCAGCACTATGCTCATATTCAAATCAAACCAAAGCACTGTTTGCAGGTCAACAGTCAAGAAATACTGGTTTAATGCTGGTCTACTCATACTGGGTCGTTTAATTACACATCATTTTATAAAGGCGCTCTATAAGACGAAAAGTTGTGCTCCAATTGTATTAATTCTCATGTAGCGCAAGTCTAATCAAAAGCTTTTACGATGTTTGACACAACTAGTCTATAACATGACAAGGGGCCTGTTTCATAAAACAAGCTTACCAAATAAGCCTGGCTTATTTCAGTTAGTCTGAGTTATTGTCAGTTGATTTGGTTCTAAATAAATCAGACTAACTGAAATAAGCCTGGCTTATTTGGTAAGCTTGTTTTATGAAACCGGCCCCTGTACAGTTTGCATGTTATGATGCTTTCATTGTATAGATGAAGTTTGTTTCCTGGCATTGAAGCATGCTGTGGATATGATATTTGCATGCCACCGCTTCTACAGAAATAAGCAAACCTTCATTCTTGTTGTTCGTCATAACTTGTTGTATTAATTATTTTAAATGTTCTAGTTATTTATATTTCTAAATGTTGGTTTGAAGAGAAAAACTGTGTGGTTAACCAGTTTAAAGTAGAGAGGAAATAACTTTAGGAAATAAGATTAGAGCAGAGTGCACCTGTATGGAAAAGCACCTGGCAGCCCTCCATATTTTTATGATTTTGTGTGTTTTTCTGTGCATCATGTATCTTTAGTCATTACGTTGGCTGCCATGAACATCAATGCTTTGGTTGTTATGTGCTTTGCATTCTCTTGCAGTTTTACTTGAGTAAATATGCCTGAGATTTTGTACTGTGTGTTTCCACAGACACCAGGACCCTATAAAAAGAGCATTCTGGAGGATGATCTTCCTTATCTGGAGTTTGGAGGAACAGTCATATACAGCCAGGAAAGACATGACTGCTCATTTTTATCAGAAGATTTAAGGTAATATATCTGGCTGAATCTCTTAAAAGCATGCTTAGGTAATTCCCCCAAAACCCATTAAAGAATTTTGTACTGGGACTTTTTTTTGATGACAATTCCAGGTACACTACAAAGGATTTCTCCTTGTTTTTGTTAGAAAATAATTATTGAGCCAGTGCATAATAAACAGTGTTCAGAATCAAAAGAGAGTTCTTGTTTTGAGTCACTGGAATGGTACATCTGCAGTAATGATTTATATTCAGTGCTGTCCATAAAAAGTAATTAAAGACGGCTGTTATAGTGCCAGATATGCTACTCACTTGCTCAGATGGTATCTTTTTTTCATACACATCTCAAAACAACAGGACGTTGTTTTTTTGTACTCACTATCCATGAACTTGGTTTAGCTAGTGAGTGTGCTGATCAGAGGCAACCATGACTAACTATCAGATTCCTCCGCATGAGTTAAAACATTAAAAAAGAAGAAAACTTCCTCAGCAAGGAACTTGCAGTTTTATGTTTTATCCACCGATGTCAAAAGAGGGCACTATGGAGCCACTAAACTATGGAGCAAATGGGAAGAAATATTATATGTCAGTGTTTTTGTGTTCGCTCACCAAAGCATTGCGTTCGCTCAAAATAACTGAAATGTAGATTTTTTTCCTTCTGCCTCATATCCACGCAAAGTTTTTTGGGGGAGCGTTGAAAAATACTCTCATTGTTTATCATTGTTTATTTTCCCACAGCGTTCACTTCAGTGTTTCATCCTAAATTCTCTTTATTGTAATGCAAAAAAAAAAAAAAGTATCTGGAAAAGTCATGGAAATTTCTACTGTGAATATTTTTTTTTTACTTTATTTGCTTTACTCTAGAACAATGGTCTTAAGGTAATGATAATTTGGAGGGGAGTATTCAGTATTCTGAATGATCAATTATAAAAATGTATGCAAAATGTCACATTTCACTCTTTGGATTTGGGGTGAAGTTTGTCTTGAACATGTTGTTGACAGGTTTTGTGGGACTTTCTTGTGAGAGCCTGGCCTAATGCAGAAGGATCTGAGTGGTTCATTTACTCCTGTGTCGGTTTGACCCAGGACGCACACACACGATGTATGTAACCTTCCCAATCTCTCCTTATATTTGGCTTTTGTGTGTCTCCTCCAGATCTGGTTTGGCGTCAGGCTCAGCGGTGGGATTTGATCTGGAGTGGCCGCCCAGCTTCACCAAAGGGAAGACAAAGAAAGTGGCTGTAGTGCAGCTGTGTGCATCAGAGGAGAAATGCTATCTGTTTCACATCTCCTCCATGTCAGGTGGGCTCAGGCAGAAGCTGCCTGTCATTGCTTAGTATTATCTGATTATCTGCTCATGTACTGTATGTCTTATGTTTCAGGGTTTCCTCCTGGCCTGAAGGGGTTTTTGGAGGATGAAAATATTAAGAAAGTTGGAGTGGGAATTGAGGGTGACAAGTGGAAGTTATTATCTGATTATGACATCAAATTGAAGAATATTGTTGAGCTCTCTGATCTGGCAAACAAGACGGTATGCTGTCTTAGTATTTATAGACATATGTCTTAAGTGTCAATTTTTCAAAATTCTAAATGTATACATCATCTGAAAGCTGAATAAATAAGCTTTCCATTGATGTATGGTTTGTTAGGATAGGACAATATTTGGCCGAGATACAACTATTTGAAAATCTGGAATCTGAGGGTGCAAAAAAATCTAGATATTGAGAAAATCGCCTTTAAAGGTTGTGATACCATATGAAAGCTGGTTTCAAGCAATTTCCAAAACTGTTTTTATTTCATCCATAGCTTGAACGTAACAAAAGCTATGGTTATCTAATGTTCCTGTGGCTCAGTGGTAGAGCATTGCGTTAGCAGCGCAAAAGGTCGTGGGTAACAAACAGGAAGTCGCTTCGGATAAAACGTCTGCTAAATGCATAAATTATATTAATTATAAATTATTATCTGAAGTTGGCTGATCGCCATGTTTTTCAGGAACAGAATTTTTAGGAAAAACTGGTTTAAAGAGAGGCAATGAAAATAAAAGCACAACAGTCAAGTATCACAAGTACAAGTCACTTTATTGTGGTACAAGACTTATTTTAGTCACTGTACATGTTGTAAAAGATACAAAACGACCCCAAGGAACACGCAACACTACAACAACATTAAGTGTATCTCTGTTCATAAAACATCACAGATTACAGCATGCAGGCTATCTCCAATTCCTCTCCTGTTCTACTACTCTGGATTTATAATACATAACCAGACACAGTTCAGAACTGTAACTTGTAGTTTTGTGTTCTAAATTGTAGTTTTATTTCACTCTGTCACTGTTTGAACTAAATGAAAGTAATGCATAGCGTTAATATGAAAATGGTGCTGGTCCCTTTAAGACTAGCGGAAAATGTGCATTGATACACCATTATTATATACGTTACATAGTTTATTTTGATAGCCTAGGTGAACTGTCTTTGTAGTGTTAAGTGTCAAGGGAAATCACCTCCGCAGCGCGTTAGCAACCTAGAGAAAGACGCAATAATCGCTATTTTTCTGCACTAAACAAGTGAATTTTGCCAAGATATTTTCAGAGATGACAGACAAGATTATAGAATAATAATGAAATGAAAACCCAATTTTGACAAAAAATTGACATTCAGCCTGTTTTTTTACATTTCCTGAAAACGTCCCAGTGCGACACCCTACGGGTTTTCCTAGATCGCATTACATATATACAGCATTCAGTAGTTTTGTGTTATGGGGTGAAACCTTTACTCTCTTTATTAGTAGTGTTTGAGGAGTCAAGTATCATTGTTACTGGTGCTCACACTTGTTCAAACTCTTAAAGGGATAGTTCACCCAAAAATGAAAATTGTCATTCTTTAACCCACCATTATCATTGTTATCATTGAGTTCGCTTTTCAACACTCTTCAAAATGTTACAGTGAAATATTATACTGAAATTCATACTGTTCATACTGGACTTGAGGGTGAGTAAATGATAACTACATTTTAATTTTTGGGTGCACTATCTTTTTAACACTAAGAATTAAATTCCCAGCATGAATGATTACTTGAATCACGTGTCTTCTTTGCCTGGTGGGTGATGAGTAAGGGATAATGTACAGTAAATTACAGTCACAAAATAAACCCTGACAGGGTAATCTTGGGTTTATTTTGCGAGAATAACTGGCTGACTGTAATTTAGCTTATTACACAGCAGCTCACCAAATAAAGAAATACAAGGCAGTGTTGTTATTGTCAACTAAAATTAAAACGGTTAAAAATCATTTTCAGTAATTGAAATAAAGCTGAAATAAAATAAAATGTTAGATATTAGACTTGGAAATGTTGCCTTGGCAGGTAACTGAAATAAGTTTGTTGAAGGACTAAAACTGAAAGTGAAATAAACTACAAAACTACACAACAGTATGTGATGTAAAATGAAAATGGAAAATCTAAAAAGAACTCATTCAAAATGTTAATAAATACTATAATACTACATAAATAATCCTAAAGTAACACTGATACAAGGACGTGAAATATTGATTTTCAGATCAAATTATCTATTTATTTTATTTATTTATTTAGTCATTTAGCAGACGCTTTTATCCAAAGCGACTTACAAATGAGGA